TGCTGCTCTTTAATTTGAACTGATCTATTCCATCTCTTCTTATTTTGAGAAAGCAGAAAAATAAAATGTCTTACATTGCTCATACTGCCATAAATGTTATCAGCAGTAACTGCCTGAAATGCTGCCAGGAGCTGCACTGTCCCACCTGCTGCTGCGAGCGAGACACTGAGGAACAGCCCTGGACGTGGCACACGTTTCTGCTTTGCAATAAAGTAAAAGATAAAGGGCTTCAATTTACACTGAATTTCTCTATTCTCCATAAAACCTAACAATTCACCTTCCACTAAAGCAACAATTTTATCGGGAGGACACTCAAAGCTATAAACCAGTGAGTGTGGGGTGTGCTCTGACCTCTTGGAACTGGTGGGAGCTCAGGTGAAAAAGGCACTTAACTGGGCTATATTCATTTTAGCATTCCAATAAACTCCAATTTAGATATTTAAATAACACCTACATACTAATTAACTTCTTCAGCCTAAGCTGGAGCATATCACTGATGCTTTCATTTTGCTTTGGAGAAGGCTGTGCTTCACCCTGGGTGATGTAGGTACCCGGAACTAGGCAGGACCATCATTTAACTATATGTATATGTATTTCTTTCTCTGTCATTCCAGTGGCCAAACTCTCAAACAGTTGGAATTTCTTGCAAAGGGAGAAACACCTGAGCCAAATTAAACCACAGCATTGTTTAAAAATCACATTCTTTCATGTTGTGCCACGGACTGTAAGAGCTGAGCTGCTGATTCCTGCCCTCATAAAGCTTTTTCTTTGAGGCTGACTGTAATTATAGAGCATTTTAACACTTTTATCTTGGGGCTGCACAGGGACAGGACAGATTTGTAGACCCTGTCTCCAGTTTTCTACCCAGAGAGGCTCTTTGCAGGCAGGTGACCCCAGAGGAGAAGGCAAAGCTCCTCTGGGCAGCCCAGGAGCAACTGTCCAAGTCCTCCCTCATGGACGTGGTGGAGCTGATCATTCCCGAAGATCTCCCCTCCCCACCATGGGGGGTTAATGGCATTGTGAAGGGACACACATGACTGGGAATTTGTGCCAGAAACAACACAAGCACTCTGCTTGTGAACTTCCTAAACTCCTCCGCTTCCCTCCAGCTCCCCTCATCTCCCAGGAGCGCTGGATAAACACGGAGTCAAATGATTCAAAGCTCTGCACACTTGCTCACTGTGACACAGGGCCTTCTTTGCCTCTACAACTTACCTTCTTTCTTTTGTGCTGTGGATGCAAGAGGTTCACCAGGACTGGAAAGAGTGGAGGAGGGACCCTGGGGACAGGAAGGATTTTTTCACCAGCCTCTGCCTTGTAGTAGAAGGGGCCTTAAGACCCATCCAGTCCCACCCTCTGCCATGGGCAGGGACACCTTCCACTAGCCCAGGTTGCTCCAAGCACAGTCCAACCTGGTCTTGGACGCTTCCAGGGATGGGGCAGCCTCAGCTTCTCTGGGCAACCTGTGCCAGGGCCTCACCACCCTCACAGCCAAGAATTCCTTTTCAACATCCCATTTCATCCCAATGCCCTTTTAGGCACTGGAAGGGGCTCTAAGGTCTCCCCAAAGCCTTCTCTTCTCCAGGCTGAACACCCCCAGCTCTCTCATAGCAGAGGTTCTCCAGCCCTTGGAGCATCTCAGCATCATCACTCAGATGCCATATGAACCATCCCAACAGCTGCAGCCTTGGCTCCTCTCACACACAAGCCTGGATGAATTTCAGACCTGGACTGTTGCTCCTTGCTAGGATTCCTCATCCTAATTAACACTTAATTTGTTCCCTGCAATCAAGCTGTGCGTGTGTAGCTGAGTGTTCATCCACAGAGGAGAATGGGAGTTTCCAGAACTGAAGTGCAGGTGGGATGCTGTGAGCAGGTTCCGTGCTGATCTCTAAAGCCATTTCCCAGATTGGGGAATGGGGCTGTTATCCCTGTTAATTCTGGCTCGGAATCACAACCTGTGAAAACAAAGGCAGTAAAACCAAATCCCTCCCTGTTTTGGAGTTTTAATCCCTTTCAGTCTCCATACAGATCCCTCCCACTGCTCCCACCTCCATCCCAGCACCAGCTCCTGATCCCATCCTGTTCTTGCCAGGCTTCCCTAATCTGCTCCTTATCCAGATCCTGCTCCTTGCTGGTCCCACTTCACCATTTCTGGGATTTTTCCAGAGCCTCACAGAGGTGGGGAGTGCAGAGGAACACTAAGGGAAGGGATGAGAGCAGCTCTTCTGATGGTGGAGAAAGTGCAGAGACACTGGGTTGTGCTGATGGTCCCATGTTCCTGGTCAGCATGTGAAAACATGGAGGGAACAAATGAGAATTGGTTGACTGGATTTGGTAATTTGTTTAGCTCACCTGCAGCCACTGTCCCCACCTGAGCCTGGGCACAGCTCTCAGTGCTGTGATGGGAACATACCAAATAACACATTTTTTTCAGTGGAACCTGGAAATTTTGCCCCGAACTCGGCATGCTGCAGATCTGGGGATTAGACTTTGGATTTATGACATGGAATTACCCCACCAATAACAGTACTGTGCAGCATTTCCCTGAACTGTTTTAGCCAGTCTCAAAGTGACCCGTGGTTTACCAGGCTGGGTTTCAGCTTTGTGCTGTGGAGTCCACACTTAGGGCTCAGCTGGGCAGCCGGTGCACTCACCAAGGGCTTCAGAGATGCAGGAATTGTGACTGAATCCCTGGATTACTGGTGAAATCACACTGGAGTGAGGTGTGCCAAGACCCTGGCTCGGTTGGAGACAGCCTGGAGACTCTTTACCAATGCTGCCATCTAGAGAGAGAGAGTCTCTTCCAGGATGGAAGATCCTACAGACAATCAGGATTTAGAGCTTTTCTGCCTGGACCACAAGGTGCGTGTGCAGTAAAACCATCACCCCGTGTGCTGGGACACTCTGGTTCCTGCCAGCTCCACTGCTGGCCATGGCACCTCTGCGTGAACCCCTGGATGGGACAAGGAACCCCTGAGCTCTGCTCCAGGCTCAGCTGTGGCTGCTCTTCCCAGACAGCTCCTGTGATGGCTTTTCCTTTCTGTGTAGTGAAACTGCAGCCATGAGATCCTGCATTACGTAACCACGGGGTAAAGCTTAAAACATAGGCTGGACACACATCTGGATCTAATTGGGCTCCTCCGGGACAGGAGTCCTGTGCTTTGGCCTGGAGAGAAGCAAGGAAAGAGCAGCAGTAATTTTTCATGCAAATTTCCAGCTGCAGAGGGGTCTGTGCAAACCCTCTGTGGCCACAGCTTTGGCAAAGGTGGCCCATTAAGTGCTGCGTGGACTGACGGTGCTCCCGCTCCTGCAGTCACTGACTGGGAAGGGATCTGCTGGAAAAGTGGGTTTCCTGAGAAAATCAGGACTAACTGAAGCTCAGAAGTCTCCTGTACCCAAAGCTGCACTGTTTATCCTGAATCACCAGCCACTGTCCCTTCCTTTCTGTCTGGTCAGGGACTGCTGGCACTGGGGCAGCTGCCAAGAGCTACATCCTGCTCAGTGACCCCACAGGCAAATCCGCCCGGGCTACCCCAGGAGAGATCTCTGGCCTGCAGCCATGGAATCACAGAATCACCGAGGTTAGAAAAGCCCTCTAAGATCATGGGGTCTAACCATTAACCCTGCACTGCCAATGCCACCACTAACCCGTGTCCCCAAGTGCCACATCCACACGGCTTTTAAATCCCTCCAGGGATGGGCACTCCACCACTGCCCTGGACAGCCCCTTCCGGTGCCTGACCTCCCTTTCCATGAAGAAATTCCTCCTGATGTCCAACCTGAACCTCCCCTGGTGCTCTGCCTCTCGTTCTGAAGGTGCTGAAAGAAGTCAGGAGCCCCAGGAGAGGAGAGCTGGTGTCACCAGAGAGCTGTTAGCAGTAGTCAGCCCCAGTATGGGCAGAGAGCAGCTTTTAGCCCAGTTTGACTGAGCAGTGCTCATGGTTCCATTAGGAGGAGCCCAGGACTGACCTGCTTTAACAAGAGGCCAACCATAAACTCTGGGGTCACTTGTTCACCCAATGCTTAAAAGGCAAATTAGAGCAGCCAAATTGTTTCTCCCCCACTAATCCAGCTTTCTGCTTTAGTGCTCTGCACTGGGCTGTAGGGAAACCTCCGGGACACCATCCTGCCAAGGGAAGTGCTAGGCAGGCATGGAAAACACGGCTCTCCCAACCTCAGGCACAGGTTTTTCCCAGGTCCTACCTCAGCTTTTAGCCTTTATTAACACCTCCTTTTTTCTCTTTACCCCTAACCCTGATCTAGATCATTTTATGGAGCAGCTTTAGGGCACTAACAGAATTTACAAACTCCATTATTTGCAATTCCAGTTGTTCTTTATAATCAAATCAAATGCTCATTGGTGCAAATCTAAATTCTCTGGTCCCTCTGAGTGTTTAATAATCGCAGCTTTACATTGTTTTCACACAGCTAACATCAAACAGCTACACCTGTCTCCAAAGTGACCCTCTCTGTGCCCTTGGATAAGACATTGCACATTAATGCCTGCAAATCTGATTATTCCAAGGCTCTTACTGTCCACATTCAACCAAACAAGCTCATCAAAACCATCTATTCGGGAGCTGCGATGTGGGCAAATAAAAGAGCCCTGAGCAGTGACTGTGGCCCATCACTTTAATACCCTGCAATGCTCATTTCTGCATGGAGGGTTTCTCACACAGAAGGCAAATGGAGATTCATTTTCATAACTGGTGTTTAAAAGAGAAAATCCACCTGAGTGAAAAATACTCAGCTTTAATACACAGCCATGGCTGATTAAAAGACTGTGTATTATCAAAAAGTATTTGTGCTTCTTTTCCAGGAAAGTTTTCACTACAGGAAAAAAAACTCTGAATATTGAAAAATGTAGACTTTTTGTTATTCCTAGTGGCTTTTGTTTATGGAAAAGCCAAGAGTCCATGTGCTGACCCAAAGGTTGTCTAATGAGCACCACACACAACCCACAGGGACACAGAGAAGCAGCACAGCAACAGAACAAGGGGTGCTGAGGGCTGGGGTTTATTATTGTCTATCCTTAGCAGCAAAACAGTGTTCTTAATTACAAGAATAAAATGAACATTCCTCTCTCAGTGACAGGTGGGACAAGGGGAGGTGGGCTGACCTCCTTCCCTGCGTGCATCCAGCGGCGGTGCCGCTCTATGTGATGACGGTGGGCCCGGTGCGGCCGGTCCGCTCGTGGAGCTGGGAGAGCTTCAGTGCAATGGAGATGAGAGGGGCCAACATCACCTGCAGAGAGAAGAGAGATGGCTCAGAACTACTGCAGCACCTGGAGCTCTCACATGCCATGTCCAGCCTTCCCTTGTGGGCACCTGGGCTCAGCCCAGGACACCCAAAGCTGAGCTCTGCTGACCAAAGGACTAGTTTGGGCTCTGGCAGCCTTGGTGCTGTGACCACTGCCCTGGGGAGCCTGTTTAGTGCCCAACCACCCTGTGGGGGAAGAACCTTTTCCTGATATCCATCCTCAACCTAAATATAAGAGGAGGATTCTTTTCCTCCCGTGCCTACAAGAGCACAGCAGCGTTTTTAAGCTGCAAAGAACACATACTGAACTCACTACAGAACAGGTCAGTGCCACCTTAAGTACAGCTGCATCCAGCTGGGATTCCACACCCACCTGTGGATCCTGATGGATCTTCTGTGCGTCCTTCTCGTAGCTGTCGATGTAGAGCCGCACGGTGGCTCCCGCGCTGCCGGTGCCGCTCAGCCGGAAGATGATCCGGGAGCCATCGGAGAAGATGAGCCGCAAGCCCTGGGCAGGGAGGAGAGAGGGAAGAGCCTCTCAGCTCTTGGGTATCTGAGGTATTTTCCATGAGAGCCAGTGTGGCTATGCCCAACCTGCACCATCCCTGTGCTCCTCCTCTTCAGGGAGCCACAGAAGGCTCTTTTGTTACTCTCTCCCCATTCCCACAGGGATTACTGTCCCTCCTACCCCACGCTGGAGAACTTGCCAGAGCTCCTGAACACAAAGCATGTTGCTGCTGGGAGGTTCCTACCTCAGCACATGCCTGGAAACAAGAGCCGCCACACACAACATTCCCAACCCATTGCTATTCCATAAAAATAGACACAAAGAAAACACTCCTGTGCCCACCTGGTTTTTGGAGACACTTCCATCCACAGGGTCGTTGTACTCAAAGTTATCAGCCTTCTCCACCGTGTAGGCCTTGTCCCCACACGACAGCTTCTTCCCCACAAAGGAGCGGTCGAACATCACCGCCTCCAAATCCTTCATCATTTTGTTGGCTGCGTCTGCATCCACCTCCTCATAGTCATACCTGCACCAGGCACCAACACAGGTCAGGGAGGGGAGGGTGCAGTGGGCACTGGTGGTTTGGGATGCCCTTTTTGACTTCTGCCTTCTGCCCTGAGGATGTCCTCTGCTCCCACACTGCAGGGGAGCACGGGAAGAAAAGGCACATAAAAAGCACCAGAACAGGTTGCCCAGAGAAGCTGTGGCTGCCCCATCCCTGGAAGTGTCCAAGGCCAGGTTGGACGGGGCTTGGAGCAACCTGGTCTAGTGGAAGGTGTCCCTGCCCATGGCAGGGGGTGGAATGAGATGAGCTTTATGGTCTCTCCCAACCCAAACCAGTCTGGGATTCTATGAAAAGAGAGGAGGGTCTGTGTGCAGCACTACAGCTCCATCCAACACAGACTCCTGGGATACACTGCAGCAGCTGGTGTCAGGAGATGGAAGCACAAAGTGCTGTCTCACACTGGGTGTGTTACAGATCCAGGGCCAGGCTCCAACTCCTGCCAGGAATTTGCTGTAATTCTGCCGACAGCATCTCAGTAGGCCCCTCACGGACACAGCTGAACACCCTCGTCTGCATCTGCAACTGTGATTGCACCAGGACAACATCCCACTGCCAGCTTTGAGAGACAGCAGAGAGTGGCTGGAGCACAGAAGGGATCCTAGACTCTGTATTCCGAGTGCCAGTGGGATTTGTGCCACTTTATTTGCCGGCTGACCCGCCCACCCCTGCACTGAGTGTGCTCTGCAGACACCTCGAGTGCTAAAAGGCTGCCTTTTTATCCCAGACTTTGGCATTTCCCCCCAGGTCTCCATGCCTCAGGTGTGTGCTGCCTTTGTGGTGTGGGGAGAAAAAGAAGGAAGAAGAAAAAAATAAAAAGGCAAATTCTTTCATTTGGCAATTTGAGAGGGAATTTTCATGTAGGTCTTCCAAGCTGAAAGATTTCTGCCTAATGCTTTCACTCCAGGTGATATTCCCACCTCTGCTTGTGTGCAGGCTGGTTCTCACTCCTTCCCTTTCCATCTTCCATGTGTACTGCAGCTTAAATTAGAGTATTTTGGGACTGGACAGAAACTCATCCAGGTAAGTAACAGCCTGGGAGCTGGGCATTCCACAAGATACTGCTGTCACTGAGGGTATCAAAAATTTGCTGCTGATTTGGGCTCTCAAGAGCCCAGCATACTGAACTGATGGCAGAAAAGACTTGAAAGGAAAAAAAAATAATCAAAAAAAAAAGATTCTTTGCATGTATAAAATGTACAGCCTGGGCAGACTTTAATACCAGATTTATGTCTAGAATAACAACCCTAAGCTGGACACGGTGAAGGGTTCTGGTGAATCCCATTCCGTGTAACCCAGGTGTGTTACAAACTGCTCAGGGAGTTTTAAATTACTGTGAGAGAAGCAGTGAGTGCCCCGGGGCAGGAGCAGCCCCACAGTGACACACCAGTGCCATCAGTGCTTTGGCTCTGACCTGGAGGGTTGGACACGGGACAGAAGGAAGTGTGAGGTGTTGGAAGCACTTCTCCCACCTGGTAAAGTAGTTCCTGCCGTACTTCTGCCAGTGGTCCTTCATGATGTCCTCCACGCTCTGCTTGCGGGTGGCCAGGATGGACAGCCAGGCCAGCACAGCCCACAGCCCGTCCTTCTCCCGGATGTGGTCGGAGCCTGTGGAGGGAACAGCACAAACACAGCTCCCACTCCTTTCACCTACCTTGTCTCCTCTCCTGCATCCATCTGGCAGCGCTACAGGCTCCCAAATGGAAGGCATTCCCACAGCTCCATCCAGGCTGCATCATTAGAACGGGGCAGGATATCATCTGCTTTCAGCTACAGCCCAAGTAAAACATTCGGCCCCTTTCAACACACACACTCTCATTGTTCACAGATCCTCAACTCTGTTCCCAAGGAAGGAACGGGGAATGCACAGTAAAAAGGTCATCAAATAAAAAAAAAGGCAAATGCAGAGGAGCAGCTCAGGAAGAACATCAAGCTCCTGAGCAGCTGCCACGTTCTGTCTGCCAAGCAGCACACTGGGATCAGCACAAATCCTGGCCCAGCACCAGGACAAATGTCAGCCCTCCTGGGGAACCAAACCCCAGCAACTCTGGAATTAGCCCAGAATGGAGAGAGGAGCAGCAGGTCAGAGAGCACTGGCCATGGGGCTGGAAAACAGCAGGGCAAGGAGAGACTCCATCCACCTGTGGAGACCAGGAGAGCTCCCACACACCAGGCATGGAGAGGCTGGAAAACCCCTCTTTTGGATAGAGGAGGATTCACAGAACCACAGGACAGTTCAGGTTGGATGGGACCACAGTGGGTCATCTGGTTTGACCTCCCTGCTCCAGCAGGGTCACCCCAGAGCACATGGCACAGGGTTGCATCCAGGTTTTTCCACTGTCTCCAGTAAGGGAGACTGCACCTTCTCTGGACAACCTGTTCAGTGCTTGGTCACTACACAGGGAAGAAGTTCTCCCTCATGTCCAGGTGGAAGGTCCTGTGCCTGTTTGTGCCTGTTGCCTCTCATTCCTGATTCCACCAAAGCTGGCACTGCACAGAGAGCAGGAACCCACCGGAGCCCAGCTCAGCCTTGCCCTGGGAGCACAGCAGGGGGCTGGGAACACACAGGAAATCCGAGAGGGGCTGGACCTTACACAGCACCCTGAGCACCCAAATGAAATGGGATCAAATGGCCCAGAACACCCCCAACCCACCCTCAGGGCTCCTGCCTCGTCAGCTCATGCTATGCTCCACAGCTGCAAAGTTCTCGCCTTTCCACTCTGGAAAACATCCAAACAGGTATTAATGAATCCCAAGGAGCTAATGCAGAGAGCACTCCAGAGCTGCCATGTCACCCTCTCCAGGAGTGCCAGAGTGGGGATCCTCTGGGAAAGGGCTGGGGGCAGGGCACGGGTTAGGTGGAGCTTTGCACAAATCCCACTATTGTGGACGCAGCGATAAATTATCCCCATGGTCCCTGAGGGAGGAGAGAGCTGGGCAGAGGTGATGGAGAGGAATGCTAAATAAACACCAGTCCCATGTGATGTATCAGCTTATGGCTGGAATAAAATACCCAAGGAAGCAAGCAGGAATTCTGTCATGTTGCATTACTCTAATTGCTCCTGGACTCCAGTCCCACCAGGTCACAGTTTGTTTCAATTTTTACTGGATCTCTTTGGCTGCTCCTTCACCTCTCTCCCCTTCAACACTCACATTCTGTCCAGCTCCAAACAACTCCTCATTAACTTCCTATCAGCCAACCTTCCTCACCCCTTTTCATTCCTTTTTCATTCCTAAGTGCATTTGCCAGGTGGACAAACACCCTTTGCACTGTGGGGGGAGCCCAGCACTCTCAGGCCCTTTCTGTCCCCCCAAACTGCTGCAGCCCCCAGCCACTTGGATTTGATGCTGTCTGGCCAAAATCCCAAACCTCTCCCTCAGCCCCTGCTGCAAATGGAATCAGTCACTTTTATTTGGGATGGAGTCACTTCCCTGCTGGGGGATGGAGAGAAACTGGGAGCTTGTTGCTCATACAACAGTTTTAGAGAGCTGCTCATCCCAGACCATATCCCATCAGCAGCTCCAGGAAGGTGGAAAAGCATTTGCTGGTTTCTGGTGTGATTGATTTCCTGAAGCACCAGTACCCTCTCATTAGCCAAGGTCCAGGATATAAACTCAGCACATGCTGAAATCACTCAGGCACTCCAAAATCTTTACTCACAATTTCCTTCAATATTTCTTTACAGAGATACCACGTTTCCTGAAATTCCCCTTTCCTTCCAACCTGAGGCCAAATCCAGTGTATCAGAATAGCATATGATTGCAAAAATATTGCCACTGAGGACTGCTCAGCCCCACAGCCCCCTGTTTTCACCCAAAGCCTGGAATCCCCTTTCTCAGGCACAGGGAAGCTGGGGGAATCCTTTCCTGTCAAGCTGTGCACCCCAGCTCCACAAAGCACTTCACCTCAGGCATTTGGGGATTTAAGGCACCCATGCACAGGTTAAAAGGTGGTGGAATGAAAAACACACAAGGTTTGAGTGTGAAATCATCCACCCTAAATTCCCCCAAGACCCTGTGCCTTGCATATCCCACCAGAGGTCCTTAGAGAACAGGGAAAACAAGATCTCAAGAGAATTCAGACCAGGTAAAACTCAGCCTTTGTGGAGGAATTAGGTGCCTTTTCCACAGACAGGATGTTAACACCATGTGGTAGATGCCATGGGAGAGCTTAGAAACTGCTGAGGTCTCCCAGGAATTCTGAGTGTCCTGCACATGCTGCTCCAATGTGGAGCAAAACCTGCTCCCTTCAACTTCCCTGCACAAATAACAGTTGTGTGTCACGTGCACACCCCTAGAAATTCCTTGTGATGTTCACTTTGTTTCTCAGTAACCCAATAACTTGCTTAGACTGTTCAAAGGCAAGTGTTAATTTAAACTTTATAAATCATACCTTGTTTTCAGAACAGGAAAATGAGGGCCCTATTAAGCTCAGAGATTTAATAGTGACCTGAAACCTTCCCTAATAAAACTCCATGCTCCAAACCATATTTCTTTCCAGAAATGAAAACATTTAGAAGGCTTTCCTGGCCACCAAGAGTTGAAAAATACATTTAACATTGCACTTAATCCCCACAGACTCAATGACCGGACTAGTAAAGAGGCCCTCAAACTTCCTGCATATCTCCACGTGCCTTCCTGAAGGACTGAGGGAGAACTGGCTCCTGCCTCACAAAACCTTCAGCACTGTTTTTTTCCACACTGATTCTTCCAAGCCTTTTTTCATATTTTATTATTTTAGAAGCATTAACAACTACAGATGAAAGAGAAATCCCAAGCTATAAAGAATAAAGAACTAACAGGAGGAACTAACACCATCCTGGGTGATCCCAGGAATTGCTGACTTACCAGTTCCAAAACTTTCCTCTCCACACAGAGACAGTTTGTTTGCATCCATCAGGTTTCCAAAGAACTTCCAGCCTGTTGGAGTCTCATACAGAGCGATCTTTGTAGCCTGGGCCACCCTGCAAAGGTAAGAAGGCCAAGTCACATCCCAGCTGGATTCCTGGTGCTCCCATGTGAGATGCTGCAGTATCAGCCTCTCCCTTGGGGTGACACTGCAGGCAGGGAATGCCACTGCTTTGGGGGTATCCTCTATTTTATCCCAGTGTAACATTTGGAAAATGGGTGGGATGTGCATTTAAAGAACAGATACGAACACACAGCTCTTCTAAAGCAACTTTAAGTTATGAATCTCCAAACATTTAACAAATTAGCACTATAAAATTTAAGGAAAAAAAAAGGGTGGGAGGGTCATTTTTTTTGGACTTATCTGTAGAGAAGAGAAAGAGCCAAGAGCACAACCCAGCTCCGCTCCCCACTACAGAGATGTGTTAAACCCCAAGAAAGGGACAGGGATCCCTCCCCCCTCCCACCTGAACAGCTGGTACCTGTCGAGGGCCCCGCTGGTGGGCATGCTCCGGGCAAATCCACGGACTCCAGTCTGCTGGAAGTACGGGATGCAGAGAATGTTGGCAGCGATGACGGCCACGGAGTCGGAGGGGTTCACGAAGAAGCCGTGTTTTCCCAGGATCATGTTGCGATCCTGAGGAGGACAAGAGGGGAACAGCTCTGCTCCCTGCTCAGCACAAGAGCTGCTCATAAACCCAACAGCTCCCAGGGATTTTCTGACTGCACTGGAATAAAAGCAGAGCTTTGAAACACCTGGATAGTGTTTCACCTTCCTGCTGGTTTTTCACAGCCTTTAAAGTTATTTAAATGCAGTTTGGGTTTCTTTATTGACACAGTAGCCAACTATTGCCCAGGTGACAAAATGCAGCAAGTGGTTCACTTCCATTCAAGACTACAGAGGGAGAGAAAAGAGCTTTGCCTTCGTCCTCTGCTTAAAATCAGCTGAGCATCAGTCTCCCACAGCTGATTAGAAGGCCAAAAAGTGACCAGAGATCAGCTCATTTACCCCATCTCCATCAAAGGCAGCTCCGAAGTCATACTCTCCTGTCTTCATGGTCTGGACCAGGTCGGCAGCGTAGGTTAAGTTGGGGTCAGGGTGGTGGCCCCCAAAGTCCTCCAGTGGGGTGCAGTTCACAGCTGAGTTTGCTGGGGCTCCCAGCTCCTCACACAGGATCTTTTTCACGTAAGGGCCCACAACTGTCACAGCAAAACATGGAGAGAAACAAGTTGTCTCTGCCCTTGGTCAGCTTTGCACCAGCCACGTCACCACCCACCCCTGGGCTGCTCAGGCTGGGTCAGTTTGTGTGGGCTGGGGTCCTAAAGCACAGGAGCTCCCACAGGGTGGTCAGTTCATGTGGTTTATGGTACTGAAGCACAGGAGCTCCATAGATCTCGAGACAAGAGGAACAAGGTGCCAAGAAAGCCAGGGTGCTCCCAATGACATCTGTGAAAGGGACTCACAAGTCTGGTCGATATATTAAATTATATAAATCAGTCTAATGGTCTCATTTTTGTACTCAAACCTCTATGGGAACATCTTTGCCTAATTGCTGTGACCCCCATGGGACACTGACTGATGTGAAGTCAGGGCAGCTTTGATCACAGCTTCGTCCTCTGTCTCTCAAGTGCTGACTGACACATGTGAGCCCTACAGCACTCCCCAAACTCCACCAATACCTCTGCCCCGGGGCAATTCCCAAGGCCAGACATTTCACAGAACCCTAGAATGGTTTGTGTTGGAAGGGATCTCAAAGTTATCATTTCATTCCAACCCCCAAAACACAATATTTGACAAAAGAAAATAACGTAAGGCATAAAAAGTTTGCTTGCAAGAAGAAAAATCCAGGATGCTACAAAACAAAAATCAAACTTACAAGTGATGGATATAAATTCCAGTAAAATCTCTCTCTCTGAAGGAGGTGGGAAAGCCCCTGGGACACCCAGCTCCCTAAAATGCCCCAAGCCCACCCGGGGTACCTCCGTGCATGGCGTCGATGCGGATCTTGAGGTGGTTTTTCCCTGAAAGCAGCTCCTTTAATGCACTGAAGTCAAAGATACTCCTCAGCATGTTGGCATAAGCTTCCACAGAGTCCACAATTTCCACTGGAAAAGAAAAGGGAGCAGAGAGCAACTCTCAGAGTCTGAAATCTTCGTTACAAAGTCCTTGTTGCTGTGCTGAGCATCCTCAGAGCCCGGGCTCAGCACAAAGCCTTCCACATCCCACAGGATCAGCTGATAAAGATGGGAATAATGGTGTCAAATTAAGAATTTAATTACAGGTTCTCACTGCTAATCAGGTCACAGACAAATGGACCAACAAAATCCTTAAGGAAAATTCTGTTCCCAGCTATGACTCCCAAGAGGCTCAGTCCCACTTCTCTTGCCTGGAGAGAGGGATTAAGGGAAAAGGGAAATATATAGATATATATATATATAAAATCAGATCTTTAATTCCACCAAAGTCAATGGGAATTGTGAACTTAATAGTTCAAAAAAGCTGCACCTTTGCAGCCAACAGGCAATATAAAAACCCCATTAACATAAAAATCCCACTACATAAATGGGGACTGGGAGAAATACCAACTTTTATCATCTTTTATTTATTTTTTAATCAGCACAAGTCACCAGGAGATGGTAAAAAAATACTTGCAGTGTTTTTTCGAAAGTCTTTTTTTAATGCATTTTCATTTTTCACTGCTGACTGACAGAAATCACATATGAAATGTAACAGTTTTCCCACTCACGGGGAGAGCTTTTAATTGTGAAATCATGGAAAAAATCAGTTACAAGATTAAACACTATATTTTTAATTGAGAAAATGCACTGTAACTGCAGAGGTGTCTGTTTTCAAGTACAAGTTTGCTCTGCAGACAAAACAGCCTTTGATTTTAGAGAAGTTTGATGGATCGAGATTTTTCCACTGAAGTGGAAACTTTTGTAGGACAGAAACTGATCTACACAAGGTAAGATGCAGGGCAAACCAAAAAAATAAATAAATATCAGGATGCAGGAGCAATGTCTTTCTTGGATTATCCAGTGGATGAGAAGGAGGGATCAGAATGGCCATGTCTGTCCTCAGACAAACCAAATTTCCTCGTCCTTTCCAAAAGGAAGAAGACTTGTTTACCTGTAAAGGGTTTAAATTTGTTCTCCAAGTCAAACTGCTGCTTCCCAATGGTGCTCAAATCCACCTGGAGATCTGGGCAGATGGCATACTCCTCAATTTTCTTGCTGATTTGGAAAATTTTATCCGTGATGGCTTCAGGAGCAGGACCTGGGAGAGAAAATGGCCAAGGGGGAAGATGGTAAAACAGGGATGTACTTCAGGAGTTCAGGAAAGACCCAGGGCTGGGAATCCCAGAGTTTGAGCATCCAGGTTTAGGGAAACTCACTGCTCAGGGCACTGGATCTCTGTGATATTAAAGCAGAAATTGGGTTCCTTGGGGTCAACATGAGAAACAACCAAACAAATTAATCAAATAAGGGGCCAAGGGCCCTCACCTCCATTGGCAATGTTGAATTTGATGCCAAAGTCCCCGCTGGGCCCCCCAGGGTTGTGGCTGGCTGTCAGAATGATGCCCCCAATGGCCTTGATCTTCCGGATGATGCAGGACACGGCCGGGGTGGACAGGATCCCGTTCTGCCCGATGACCAAGCGCCCTATCTGGGGATAGAACAGCAAAACAAACTCCTGTGAGGCCCAAATCCCAAATGCCAAATCCACCAAACCCCAAATGCCAGCAACAGGTAAACCAGAGCCCTGAGGTGCATGGATGGCAGAGGCGCCCTTGTTCCTGGGAGGCCTCCAAGCTCTCCCTGGTGCATTCAACCCCACGCTGTTGTGCTTTTGGAGCGCTTTCCTTCAGGAATGCTGCAGCTCAGCTGGACATGGTGCACTGGAGGGCTGAGCTCTCCAGTTGTCCCTGTTTTTATGTTGTTTAGTTGTCTCTAAACAACACCAAAAACCAACCAACCCCTCTGGCCGTGGCCTCGAACTTTGGTTTCCAAACACACAATGGGACGGAGAGAAGCCAAAACAGCACAAAAATTGGACATCATGGCTGCTCCCATGGGACCAGCTGCAGGTTCTTCCAGTGAGTAACACACCTCCTTCCCATAAATTCAGTAACCTCACTGAGATTGCATCCAGAGCAATGTGCTGAGCAATACAATCAGAATCCAGTTGCTGGAGTCCACGCAATAAAGCAGAGGATGAACACACTCCTCAACACAGCCCCCAAATGAGGTGACAGAGATTTAAAAACACACCAGACTCTGCATCAGCTGAGATCAGAGAGAGAACAGAAAGAGAAAAGAGGAGGGATTCCATTCAAACACAAGATAAAGCAGGGATCAGGAGGAGTGTTCCCGACTGCAGGCCTGCGGTGGGAGCTGGGCCAAGGGCACGGGATGAGTGTGATTCCGGGCCCCTGGCACTGTCAGGTGCTAAGCCCCAGCCTCCTGCCCATCAGTTAGTGCATAGTACAGCTGTCAGAGACCAGCTGCTCAAAGATCTGCACCTCCAGCAAATAATGAGCACAAATATGAAACAGCAGTTTAGGACCCCAAGGTGAAGCCCTGCTCGTGGGGGGAGCTCATGGGACAGCAGCTCATGGTGGAGCCCTCCTGGGTTTTCATCTGAAGTGGCCCAACCTACACAGGGTTTGCTTTTCCCCATTCTCAGCCAAAGCCAGCGCTGCTTGATCTGTGCTTTAGTCACCAGCACACCTTGTCCTGTGCTTTATTCCAGCCTCCAAATTTTGCTCCTCCAGTTTCCCCAAAAATTCATGGGACCTCCAGGAAGCTCCTCTGCAAAACTTCACCTCTTGTTCCCCAGTTTCCCTTTGAGGGTCACATTCTGCAGCACCCCTGTGCTCTGCAGCAGCTCAAGGGATGCTGCAGAGGACTGGCAAAACAAGGGATTTTCCCTCCCACACCAGACAGGAGAGCTCCTGGTCCTCCCCATACACCTGAATTGCAGCTTTTCCTCCCCACAGTGAGGAAGAAAAGGAAGAAACACTTGTCTCCATATGAGCTGCTCTCTGATTTAGGGCCCCCCTTGGCTTCCAGAGGTTTTCAGCTGTCATTCCCCACCCATCCAATGCTCAATCCCTCATGGTAACCACTGGAAAAGGTTGCTCATGGCAACAATGTGCTGAAAAATTTATACTTAATCCTTTTGGATTCTCTGGAATTTCTTCTGAGAAAAACCTAAGACTGGAGAAACACCTTTCATGGAATTCTCAAAACAGACCCACTTGATGCAGCAATTTTGGGTTACAGCCCCTCAGAGCAATCCAGGCAACATTTCCACCCTGGTTTTACTGAGAGCCCACTAAGATGCACACAGGAAATAATGAACACCTAAAATTCCCAAGATCCAGGTCTCTCTGAATAACAAGAGATCCAGGACAGACAGCAGAGCCTTTTCTTCTTAAAAAGCATAAGAAAACAGATGCAAAACCCCAAAGCCCAAGAGCCTTGCAGTGCATAAATCATGATCCACCACAAACAGACAAGCCTGTCCTGCTTTCAAAACACAGAATTCCAGCACAACTGAGATCCACATAAAGGTTGCCACTCACTTCCTCACCCTCATCTCAATTTTCAAAGGCTCCTGGAGTATTTATCACAACTTATATATGGTGAGAAAGAAACAACCATGTTTTACCTTTTCCTTTGCCACTCTGGTGGCTCTCCTTGTAACTTCATTTCTGAACAATATCAGGGGTTTATATTCTCATGGAAAGGCTACAAAATCCAAGTGCCAGCAGCCTGGGGCTGTCAAACCCCAAACCAAGAACACACAAACACCAAGCAGTATTTATTTTCCATTCTCCAGGTGTATTCTCTACCCAACTGCATCTCTTAGAGTGAAGTCAGTCATTTCTGTACTACCAAACTGGTTTTCCATTAAAAACTTAACTCCTACAGTTGAATAAAGCCTTTGGGGAAATTAAATCTCAGAGTGACTAATTTATTAAGGCTTCCTGCATTTATCAGCCACACACCGACAGGAATTTAGGGATTTAACATTTACCAACCCCATTGGCAGCAGCCATTTGGACAATCAGTTCCACTGCAGACTTATTGAGGTACCTCCCATCACCTCCAACGACCAGAGAAGATCCCTGGCGGTCTCTCAGGTCTATGGAAAAAAAGATACTCTGGAAGAAGTTCTGCAAATAGTTCGTCTTGGATTCAAAATAAAAGGTCTTCTTCCGTAATCCGCTGGTTCCCGGTTTCTGGTCATTGTAAGGGGCTGTTGGCACAGTTAGCACGGGCAGAGGAGCGTCTTCCATGTTCTTTTTTCATACAAATGCATTTAAAAAGCAAAATATGCCAAAATTAGTCCCCAGCCTTGGCCCACCTATTAGACAGGAGTTCAGGGAAGCCGCTGGACACCCAAAAATAGCCCCTTGAACCTTGAGCTGCCGCTGGTTTCTGTAACTGAAGACGCTTTCCCGCACTTGCTGGGGTGGATCAATGTCCCAGAGAACACACAATTCTACGCTGCTGGGAAAGGGTTTCTGTCTTCTTTACCATCTGCTGGTTCCCACAGGCACAGCTCCTGGCCATTCCCGAGCCCAGCAGTGTCAATCCATGTGGTTCTCCCTCAGGGAAGGGACAACAGGGAGGCGGGAGCAGCTCAGCTCCCGCTCGGGTGTTTTTGCCAGCCCAGCAGATCCACAGGGCAGTGCCAGGCCAGGCCAGCAGGCTGGGTCCCTGGGAGGCAACGTTCCAGAGGGATCCTGCTGGAGTTATTTAGCAAAGTCTGGTGAGTTAAAGGTCACTCTTAAAATGGAAGGGAGCGGATCCGTTACCTCCCGTTTGCTCACGCAGCTCCTGCCCTGACAACCCAACTTCTCCCTCCTCAAACATAGAGATGTTATCCACCAGGAACAGTGGGAAAAACCTAGAGAAGCTGAAAAGCTACAGGAGCAATAGGTTCAGTTGAACACCCCCAGCAAATGTCAGCGAGATTAAAACCACAAAAAACCATCAAATGTTTTGGAAAACTGCATCCAGCAAAGATACTCATTTGGGAGCAGCTTAAACATGTCCAGGAGAGACTCAGACACCAAGAAACTTCTAAACTCCTCACCCCTGGAAGTGTCCAAGGCCAGGCTGGATGGGAAAGGAGCACCTTGGTCTAGTGGGAGGTGTCCCTGCCCATGGCAGGGGTGGGATAAGGTGGGCTTTAAGGTCCCTCCCAACCCGAACTACGCTATGATTCTAAATCAGACTTTCCTCCAAACCGCTTTAGTAACACTCAGAGGCCTCTGTCTGAGCTGCTGGAAACAATGTATGGATGTTACTGGAGCAGTTAAAGCACAGACACTTTGTAACAACTCCATCTGTCCCTTATGACTGCAGGGGACAGGAGGTGTGTACTCAGCTGAACAGGGAGAATTCACAAAGGTGCTCGGAGACTCTTTCCTGAGGTGCCGAGTCTGTCATTGCTCCAGCCATTGATATATTTTCTTCCAACGGGTAAAGGGATCATAGAATCATAGAGGTTGGAAAAGCCCTCTGAGATCACTGAGTCCAACCAGTCACCCAGCACTGCCACGGCCACCACTAACCCATGGCCCCCAGATCCTGTTTTATGCATCAGTACATTAAAATCCAGTTGCATAATTTGTATGAGCTGACACATCTTTTACACCCACAACGAGATTTCCTGGGATACAGAAACAACTGGGTTGTGTTTTATCCATCCTGAGACTCCCTTAATTCCTAGGCACAGGTTTCCCTCTAGTGGCACAGAAACCACAGTCCAGCTCCCAAAATTACACCTGGCAGCAAAAGGCCTAAGTGAGCTCTTTCCCTTCTTATTCTCAAGATAAACTTGGTGCCCTGTGAAATGTCGTGGCATTAAGTGACAGGAGGAGGCACGGGCCACCTCCCAGCTCCTGTGACTGCACTTGGAATTACTGGCAGGGAAAAGGCCTATGAAAGGTTGGAATTTGTGTGTGCAATAAAGTACATGTGGACTGGACAGAGGAATCAAATTAGATTAAGCTGGAGAGGAGGGTGTTGGCCATTAGTGAAATGTTTGTGTACATAAAGTAAAACACATTCTGTCAAATGAAATATAAAATAGTGCATAGAAAGCTTAGGGACAAGAACAGCATAACAACAACCCTGGTTTTGGGGCGCTCACTTGCTCCCAGGGCTTTCCTGAAACATCTGCATCACTGCTGGGATAATCTAAATCACCACTAACAGGCCAAGCAGGACTGGTCAGGGGTTGGGCATCATAGGCTGCCACAGGATTCAGAGGTGGAAAAGGTCACCAAAGGTTGATGCTGAGCACCTTTGGACTGAGGCAGGGTCATTAAATCCATGATCTGGGAGGCTTTGCTGGGATGACTGTGATCATTACAGATCACTCACAGCTGGAAAGGAATTCAGGAATTCAGCAGGTCATCAGCTCTCTCCCCAGAACTGGATCAAATACACCCCAAAAGTTGATATAACTTGTTCTTGAAATCTTTTTATCCAGGTAATGCCAGTGCATCACCAGCCTTGCAGCTGGAATTGTTTCCCTACAATCTGCTGGACATCTTCCTTGCAGTGGTTTAAGTCCTCCTGAGCTGACACAGCAAACAAATCATAATCCTCTTCCTGACAACTCCTCACACACTTGAAATCCTTTGGCTATAGACTCTGAGTGTCCTCTCTGCTACAGCAAACAACCCCAATCCCCTGGGCTTTTCCTTGTGGGCATGTTTCCTGGGTCTCTTGTTCCTGATGGAATTCAGAGGTTGGTGAGGGCATCTCCCCTTCCCACTGCAGGCCAGGACATTTGTTAGCTTGGGTCCTTTTCCTGACCTGCACTTCAGACACACAAGAACTGAGTGAAAATAAATAATTAACTGCCCCACTCAGAGGGCAGATAAAGCCCAGGTACCCTCTCTGGGGCTGTGTTCAGCTGCAATCCTTCTTTCCCAGCTTTGCAGGAATTTCTGACAACAACCAGCTGCTGACAGGCATCATCTCCTTACACCCTTTTTCTGTGCTTAGTCCAAAAGACACAGAGCACAAAATCCCAGGCAGCAAACGGAGTAAAATCACTTCACACTTATTTGGTGACTTTCCTTTAGGACAGAATCCCATTCCCCTGACTCCTGCCCTCTGAAAAGCACAGTTCCCTGCACTGTCCATGCACTTTGGCCATAAGAGGGTGCCAAGAGCCCTGAAAAACCCCATTGACCAGCTGCCAAAACCTGGCACTCTGTGCCCAAGGACAACTCTGGTCCAGGCAGCCACTGCTTTGACATTTGGCAATGCCAGGACAACTGGAGCCCAAGTCAAATAAACAGACTGCAAGCCTGTTAATCATACAAGGAGTGCTGCTCCAACCGCACTGCACTTTGTCTCTATCAAGAGTTAATTAAAAAGCCAGGTTTGGAAGTTGCTGCAGAGGTTATGGAGAGGCAAAAAACTATCTGGCACCATCTCCACAGCACATCCACATGATTCACTCCAGAATTAAGAGACACCGTTCTGTTCCTGCACTGCCTCCCAGTTAAAATGAGCAGACAAACTGGGTGGCACAGAAAGGGCCCAGCAGGGCTGGGAATGAAACCCCCATGTCAGTGTTTGTCCCAGGGAAGTCCACAGTAGTGACCAGGACTGAGAAACTTTGTGTTCAAAGGTCAGCCCTTCAAAGCACACCCAAAGCTGCATATTATCTCCAGTGTCCTGCCCCTGCACCAGGGAAAGGGCAGGGATTCCAGCTGGTTTGCCTCAAGTAGACCCAGGAATGCTCCAGGATTTCTGTCTCCAGCCTGCTGATTGACAGCACCTATCCCCGAATCCTCTTAAAAACCTGAACCCCAAAAAAATCCCCTTGGGCAGGGATGATCCTACACAAACCATTCTCCTTAAAGGTTTTCCCAGGCAGGGATTATTTGACCTTCCCAAGGCAACACACTCCTTTCCTTAGCCTTAAGCTTCCAAAATGCCTCTCAACATTTGACCTTATAATTCTTGCCCTGTCCCCACCAGGCCAGAAAATGATGTCACTTTGTTCCCTGCAGCCTCTCTGTGCTTCCCCATCCTTTGGCTCAGGTCATTCCCTCCTCACTGGCCCCACCTGTCCCTCCTCATAGAATCCCAGAATGGTTTGGGTTGGAAGGGACATTAAAGCTCATCTCGTTCCACCCCCTGCAATGGACAGGGACACTATCCCAGGTTGCATCCAACCTGGCTTTGGACACTTCCAGGGATGGGGCAGCCACAGCTTCTCTGGGCAACCTGTGCCAGGGCCTCACCACCCTCACAGGGAGAAACTCCTTCTCCCCAGAATGACCTCAGGCCATTCCTGTTGGTGTCTCCCCCAACCACACTGGATCCTCTCTGAGGGTGGTGCCCCAGGTCAGGACTTAAGTTCCTGCTGAGACTGTATTTCCTGGGTTTCACTTACGCAGCCTGACTTTAAAATCTAGAAATTATGTTTTTCTGGATAACTGGATGATCCTGCCACCAGTCTTTGTCCTCTGCTCATCAGATCTGCTGCTTAGTGTGTTACTCTGCATCTTGTGCTATGAATATATAGTATGTACATATTACATTTCTTAGGACTTCTGCCTTCTTCACACTTTTTACTGATATTTATGTTATTTATGTTTATTCTTAAAATATGTTCCAGCTCATCATTTGAAACATTAATCCATATATTGGCTAACTCAGACCCATGACAGGGTGGGCAGGACCCCCCACAGTGCATTCCTAGATCCCGATGAGCTTGGCCTTGGCATCACACACATGGAGAGCAGCTCTCCAGCTCAATTCCTATCCCAAACTTTGCCTTGACCAAGAGAAGGCTTTAGGCTCCATCCTGCTGCCCTGCCAGCCCAGCCACAGCTGAGGTGTCTGGTTATACAGAGTCGTTGTCCCAGAGATTACAGTTAAATCCCTGTAGGATGAATTTCAACTCTGCCTGCTGGATTTGCAGAGATTAACTGCAAAGCACCTTAGCTCTGTCTCTGAGCTGGAGTTTCATTAGTGTAGAGTTTAAAATTCCAAAGAGGCACTGAAACTGGACAACCTGACACTGCCTTAATCACCTTCCACTATAAACTGGCATAAGCCAATTAACTTTACAGGCAGAAAGAGGCTAAGCTGGTGTAACAGCAGCCTGCAACCTGTAAGAGCTGCTGCAGCATTGGCTGCCTCCTAAAATCCACCATCATCTGCAGCCAGGAAATATCTGCAGTTCATATTTATTTCCTTACTTCACATATCACACCTCAGTTTCCCCTTCTGCTTCTGAGAAAAACAGGAACATTAGAAAGCCCAGAAATTGAGGCTTTTCTTACCGGCTTGTAGGGTCCAGCATCACTGCATCTAGTTCTGGTACACAGGGATTGCTTTTTGGAATAACTTTCTGTATGATCACTTTATTTTGATATTTTTAACACCAGGAGCTGTAACTTGAAGGAAAGATCTCAATGGGAACTGATCTGCAGGCTATGGCAGAACAACACAAAGGGAGCTCCAAAAGTAGAGCAGTGGCAAGTAAAGAGCGTTTAAACACTTGGTTTCCCTGGATAACTGAGTGGGGGAAAAGGTAAAGAGCAGCCAAGCCAGGAAACCAAACTTCTTAGGGTAGAGAGCAGCATTTCTAATAAAATCCCTGTGTCC